GCACTGCTGTGACTGATTTTCCATGCCTCTCTCTCTCCCTTCCCAGCTGTTTTGTGCCAGTTTACCCTGTGGCACGTTCCTGGGATTTGGATTTTATCCCCTGGACTTTGGTCCAGAGCTCCAAGTTTGGCCACACCCACATTACTGCAGGGATTACCGCGGTAAAACGGTAGTACAATCTTAGATCTGACCCATGTTTACTATCCCTACGGGGGGGGGGCTGCCCCAACCTGCTGCATTTCAGTGACTCTGATTGGCCGCCCTGGTTTCTCTGCCTCGTTTGTGAAGGGGGGGGTGTTACTGTGGGGCCCAAAAACTAGGAGCCCCATGGATTTGTCATCAGGACAGAAACAGACGGGTTGGGGTTTGAGGGGGGGGTCACTGCGGTCCCCTTGTCCATTGTGCCAGGAGCGCACTCGGGATGGTGTCCATAGCAACAGCTGAGCTTCATTGTAACGTGCGAAAAGGGCCATGCTGTCATCCAATGGCGGGGAGGCTGGGAGGGTGTCCCGCCCCAAACTCCGCAGAGCCTGTCCCGTGGCTGCTAGCTGAGTGAGGAGTGGGGGCGGGGGGGCAGAGGGGTGAGGGGGGGTCAGCTGCAGGGTACATAAGCACTCATAAATAAGAAACATGCCCCCTCTGCTTGCAATTTAGTATAAAACATCCAAACAATGAGGGTGGGGGAGGGGTGGGGGGGCTGGAGGGGCAAACTTGGCAACCAAGTGCAGGAAGTCTTTGAATACCGGATGTTCTTGGACAAGTGAATTTTGAGTCATACAAAGAGTATTGGTTACACAAAGCTTACCAGCTGGTCGGCGCTTTGTTAACTAAAAACAATTGTGTGAAAATGGTGGAGGGTCCCACACAGACACACACACACACACACACACACACGGGTGAAGGGCATTTTCTCAGCAGGATGGACACTTTCTCCGGCTTGGGACGGTCCGGAAGAGAGAGCAGGTGCCACCTACCTCGGCCTCCCCGCTCCGTCACGGAGCCGCGCACCGGCGCCCCCTCTCTGCATCTTCCCCGCTCGATCGGCCGCCTTCTGCTGCCAACGGCCCGTGTTCTGGCCCAGATGGCCGTCCAGTCGTTCGCCAGCTCGGGCCGGCGGGCGGCGTGGGCGGTAAATGTTTCGCAGAAAGAGCCACCATCCCTCTGAAACAAAAAAAAAACAACAAATTAGCCATCTCATCCCCGAGGAGTGTGCCGAGAGTTAAGCTACCATGTTGTCATTGAGTCCAAGCCCACATTCACACCAGGCAATTATCGCTAACGACGTTAGCGTCATTTTAATTGTTAGCAACTGCATTATACAGTGCACATGCCAGCCTCTCCCTACCTCACTCAGTTTCTCATCAGTTTTTCTCCTGCCGCTTCCCAACTCGAACTGCGACGTTATCTCTGCACATTGCCCCATGAAATACAGATTATACGTTTTATATATATATATATATATATATATA